TGATGATGTGTTAATGTAGCTTCATCAATTGCAACAAATGTATCACTCTGGTGGGGGATGTTGATAATGGAGGACACTATGCATGTGCGGGGGGGTAAAGGGTAAACGGGAAATGTGAATCTAAAACTGATCTAAAAAAATAAAGTCTGAGGGCCCCTGGGTGGCTCACTTGATTGAGAGTCTGCCTTCAGCTCAGGTCATGATCTCAGGGTCCGGGGATTCAGTGTCAGGCTCCCTGCTTAGCAGGGAGTCTGCTTTTTCCTCTCCCTCTTGCTCAAATAAATAACATCTGGGGGCACGTGGGTAGCTCAGTCAGTTAAGCATCTGCCTTTGGCTTAAGTCATAATCCCGGGGTCCTGGGATTGAGCCCTGCATCAGACTCCCTGCTCAGCGGGAGTCTGCTTCTCCCTCTCTCCCCTCCTCCCTGCTTATGCTCTCTGCTCTCTCTCTAATAAATAAATATTAAAAAAAATAAAAAAATAAAATCTCAAAAAAAAAAAAAAGTCTTGGGACGCCTGGGTTGGTTAAGTGTCTGCCTTCGGCTCAGGTCATGATCCCAGGATCCTGGGATGGAGCTCCGCCCTGCTCACTGGGAGCCTGCTTCTCCCTCTCCCTCTGCCTGCTGCTCTGCCTGCTTGTGCCCCACCCCCCGTCAAATAAAATCTTAAATAAAATAAATAAATAAATAAATAAATGAAATCTTAAAAAAAATAAAAAGCAGTGGAGAATGGATGGGCTAGTCAAACAGTGGAACAGTAGGGACAACTGGTTAACCATAAGGTAAACAGTAAAATTAGATCTCTGAGGCCACAAACACACAAAATTCCAGATGGATTAAAGACCCATGTGTGGAAAACACGTCTTAAACACTTACATTCCTACTGGATTATAAGCTCCTTAAATTAGATGTGTCTTGCACAATTGTGTATTTAATCCTATTTAGTATATACAAACACTTAGATGATAGAAAATAATTATAATTTGAATATCTATGATCTTAGTATAGGCAAGGATTTCTCACACAGTATACAAAACAACATAAGCTATAAAAGATAAAACTGATAAATCTGATAACATTAAAATTAAAAATGCCTATGAAACAGAAAACTCCACAATTAAAGTGAAAAGACAAGCCAAAAAAACAAAACAAAACAGGAAAAAGACATGACAGACTTGGGATGAAGAAAAACAAAGAAAATGGGTAAATGACAAAAACAGGTTAAGTCAGAGAGCAGAAAACCTAGAGAGCTGATAAATGCATGAAAATGCTTAGTCTCACTAGTAATCAGGGAAATGCAAATTAAAATATTTCATAATTAGATTGGGCAAAATTTAAAAATCAATACAACCTAGTGTGCAGATGAATATATGGGAAAATACAAACTCTTAATGCTCTCACAACCCATTGTGGAGAGCAAGTGGAAATAGCTAGTTAGGTTGATGAACTTTTAGGAGTCTACCCTAGAGAAATTCTTACACAGTGCACTGAAGAGACACATTTAAGAATGACAACTACAGGGGGTGCCTGGCTGGCTCAGTTGGTGGAGCATGTGACTCGATCTCGGGGTCATGTGTTTGAGACCACGTTCGGCGTAAAGATTATTTTTAAAAAAAAGGACAACTACAGCACTGTTTATAATAGAAAAAAACAACACAACAATTAACTGTTCCTTAGTAGGGAATAACCTGTGGTTTAATTACACAATGGAATTTATAAGTAGTTAAAATGAATTAACTCTATGTGTATCAAAGGGTACTTCTCAAAAGCCACCTTGAATTTAAGAAAAAAGGCAAGTTGCACAAATAGGTACAGTATATTAAAAAAAAAGAGCTCATATTATCTTCCAAAATCTTTCCTGAACAAAGGGACTCTTTAGTCTAACCCCCCAAACAGGCAGTGTTCCTTCTTCTATCTGCACTGGAATCCTACTTATCCTTTAAGGATCAATTTATATGCCACCTTCTTCAAGAAGGTTTCCTTGATTACCTCAATCTGAAGAGATTATTCCTTGTCTATCCTTCCACATTGTTTGGTTTATATCACCTATGTGACAGAAATCGCACACTGCTTAAAATGTGCCTATTTTTCCATGTCTCACATCTACTACAATATGAATTCCTTAAGGTTAAGGGTACTACCTCACACAAGTGTGTATTCAACTTAATAGTCATAGCGTTGGATGAAAGCAATAAAAAGGCGCCTGGGTGGCTCAGTCATTAAGCGTCTGCCTTTGGCTCGGGTCATGATCCCAGGGTCCTGGGATAGAGCCCCGCAGGGGGCTCCCTGCTGGGCGGGAAGCCCGCTTCTCCCTTTCCCACTTCCCCTCGTGTTCCCTCTCTCGCTCTTTCTGTGTCAGGTAAATAAATAAAATCTTTAAAAAAAAAAGCGATAAGTTTAATAAGGCACGGTTCCTCTCTCAAGGACGTTATGAACTTATGATGCAGTAGAGGGAGACAGACACATAAACAAATGATGAGTTATAAAAGCAGCATAAACAGACCGCTATGGATAACAAAAGAGGGACTGTACCCCCGCACAACGCCCTGCAAAAGCAGGCATTCACTATGTATAAGTCTAATTTATCGGTGGAGACCAAGGGGAGAGGGATGCTTTTTGTGAGGGCAGACGGGCAATAGGAACAAGATGCGATGGAAGTGGGTTTTGTTCCCCCTCCGCCCCACTTCAGGCAACGCGATCGGGTGCGAGTTTGATGGGAAAAGTCGAAGAAATTAGGGGGCAGGGTCTTAAGGGTCGGAGGGTTGGGGTGGTCTGCTGGGGTAGGTGTGGAGTATGCTGGCGAAAGAAGAGGTAAGATCCGACTGGAAAAAAGGTCAGCACGGTACCTTTCTCATTGCGAACCGGGACGGCCCCAGCCGTAGACTGAATGGGCGGTTGTTTCATGAGTGCGCTTGGGACCGACATGTTGATGGCAGCGGCGGTGACTCCTGGAACTTCAGTGATTCCAAAGAGTGAACCGCAAAAACGTCAACGAACAGAAAAAAAAAAAAAAAAAATCCTCTTCTGTAGGCACTGGACACCGCTGCGCGACAGACAGAAACAGCACTTACGGCTGAGCTAGAGAAACCGGAAATAATCGACCAGAGAATTCTGGGATCGTGGACGTCGAGTCTGTTACTGCGCATGTTCAAAGGCGGCTCTCGTGTCTTCCATCTCGCAGTGTTTGGACGTCGCTTCTGGCGGGAAATTGCTTCCCATTGGGCTTTGCTGCTAAAATCCTGTGGCGAGGCAGGTCCGAATTACGGGTTTCTCTTGTTACCTTGGTTTGAACCCGAGGAAAATGGGATAGTGATGAATAAGGAATTGAGCAGATAGTGAAGGGCAGTTTGTCCAGACTGTTGAAAGCTCAGAATTGGAGTTTAATGAGAATAGAAGTCCTACTAATAGCACCTGATTAGCTCAGTTGATGAGGTTGAGTGGGTTGTGGTGAGGTATTTTTTGGTCAGCACGCGCGGGCAGCTGGTGGTGATTTAGGCCATTGCCATGAAAAAGGAAAAAAATCCCCCAAGGGTCCTGGAGCAATGCCTGAAGTCAGAACAGTGTACTTTTTGGCTTTCCAGTTTTTTCAGTTTCTCAAGACCGTCTGTTAAAACAGTCCTGGCAGACAGTGTTTGTATAGAAGTACACGAGTGATTATTAAGTACTTGCTGTGTTTATTGGCTTTAGCTCTCTAAGGAGTATGGAATATTGTTTAAAGGCTTGAATTTTACTTAGGAAGTCTTCTAGGGCTTGGTAACGGAAGCAATCACGATTTACTAGCTGGGTTTGTAAAAAAAAAAATACTGGCTTATTGGAAGTTGGAACACTTTTGACCATAGAAAGGATTTCATAAGTGTTGTGGTAGGGAGAGATGGGACAGCATGAAAAAACTCATTAAGTCCAGAAATAGCATGGTATATATTAAACACTGAAAAGTTTGATTTTATCAGTAATTTTTGAGTCAAGGAGTGGTGAAAGTTTGGCAAGAATCAGATCATGGAGGGCCCTGATGTTACTGTTAAGAGGATTAGTTCTCAAATTATTTCACCTGTGTTGTAAAATTGGGTCTAGGCTGGGAGAGGAAATAGAATTGGGCAAATCTTGAGCAAGGAACAGTGGAGGACCCATGCCAGGGAAACAGTTTTGGGCTAGAAAGAAAAGGATCTTAAAAATAGAGTAGGTAGAAATTTATATTTCGAATTTAACAGCTGCAAAACCACGCTGTCCAGAGGGAGTACATATGATGGGAAAACAATTGTTTTGACTTAGGGCAACTCAGAATAGAAACAAAAAAAAAAGGTTAATATGGCTGTGACTGTAAGAAATACAGGGCACTAAAATCTTGTTACTTTGTGTACAAAAATGATTTGATTAACAACTTTTCCCCAGCCTTTGGGCTTTGTAAGTTCATCATTAGGATCTTAGTTAACTGGTGGGCAGATGATGAGGTGAAATTTAAACCAGCTTAAGTTATCAGCTCTTGAAAAAAATCAAAATGCTTTCCTTCTAGGAAGAAGGTAATGTGGTAGCCATAGGGCGTAATTTCCTGGTGGGGGGGTTATAAGGAACCGGGGGGCCCAAGTAAAGGCTGCCTGTTGATTTCGATTTTCTAGCTTCTCTATTCATAAGGTATCTAAGTGCGTCTGAATCTTTTCCAGGCTCACATTGCAAGGCAAGGTGGTTTTTTCTCAGCAGAAGAGCCAGTGTTTTTCAAAGCGAGATACTGGCATCAGCAGCATCAAAAAAATACTGGGATCTAAGGTAAAAATGTGTATTCGGTCCAATTACAAGAATTTCAGTATGGGGTGAAGCTGGTGAGCTTGACGCCTACGGAGACGACCTTAACGCCTGCGTGCCCCTCCCACTCCGGCCCGCTGGCGTCAGAGCCCGTTAGAGCCTCCCGCCAGGCCCCGCCCCAGCCCCGCTGCTCCTCCCCTTGCCCCTCCCCGCGCCTCTCGCCGCAATCTTGGCGGGAAGACGCCAGCTGCTAAGGCGCTGAAAGATGTCGGGGTCGCGCGCGGGCAGTGAGGAGAAGGTGGGCTCCAGACAGCGACTCCAGATGAAGGTGAGCAACGGTTTGTTGCTTTCGGGTGCGCTCCTGCCTCAGTGTTCGTGAGGCATTGCCGGGACCAGGCCCGAGAGGGCACGAAGACTTGGCACCCACCACCTCCACATTCCGGAACTAGTTCCCGCTCCTTGGGGCATCTCTCAGCTTAACGGTTTTTTCGGGGGTGTTTCAAAAGATAATCGGGGATCCCGGCCCCCTGTTTTCCTCTATGGGAACTCGGCCTTCAGCGTTGGGGAAGGTTATTAGTAACCCCAGAAATAGGAACAGGGTGGGATCAGGGACTCTGCATTTGCCTTTGGGGCAGTTATTGTCGGCTTCCCACTCTGGAGACAATTCCAGTTACTCAGAAGGTGACAGTTGGGGTAGTCTCAGTTACAAATGTAATCATTATTACTACATTATTACTGGTTTGCCGAGTCATGGGTAAAAAAATGCACCCAATATAATAAATAATTAAATTCAGGCTAATGAGTTAGGTATCTAGATTTTGGTGGGGAAAAAAGTTTCGTTACAGGCTATCACTCTGGATTTATTTACACAGACCTGTAAGAAAAGGCATAGGATCTGGGATTCTAATGCTCTCTTTTCTTTTATTGACCTAAATAGGTGAATGAATATAAAGAAAATCAAAACATCACTTGTGTATCTCTGAGACCAGTACAGACTACAGTTTTAGGAAAAACACCTAAGGTTTATCTTGTTCCCTTTTCACTCAGTAATTACAAGCCAGACCAAATTAAGCACTCCAAATCCCTATTGGATAAGAATTCTAACAATGAAGTTGCATGTAAGAAATGTAAGAAGACTGAAATAAGGAAAACTTGCAGAAGGATTTTAACTCCAAGGATGGAAGGCACGTCTTCCAAGGCAGAATCCACTCTGCAAAAATCATCCTTAGATGTTTATACTGAAAGTAACAAGCGACAACACAAGAGCACTTCGGATTCGGATACAGTGATTCTCAGTGTTGATATGGAAAGCAGTCAGGATCTAGACAGTGATGAAGATACCACACCAGGCCTGGTAAGAATTTAATTACTAGCTTATTCAAATTTTTCTTACTTTAAAATTTGAAGTTCTGATAAGCTAAGGGTATCCAAGGTTTGTTTAATTGAAATTTTCTTTTTTAAATGTTGAACACATAACTTCCTTGGTTAATTTTACTCTTGGTTTTGATTTGTCAAGGAGAGGATTGACTTAATCTTCATTCTGTTTCCCTTTTTCTTCCTCTCAGTTTATTGCAGATATTTTTGGGTCTACTTATTATTTATGGTGTCTTGCTCACCTTTACATATTTATGCACAATATGCCAGAAGAAGTTGGCCTGTGGGACATATGGCATTTGAGTGACCCTTGATATGAGGGTAGGAAAGTCATCATTAATTGATTAATATAGCTGAATAATATTTCCTCTAAATATAAAAAGGAGAAAAATGGAGTAGAGAAGATACATGAGAAACACTTATTAGTACTATTGAAAATAATAGTTTGAATCAGTTTAAGAAATTAAGCATCTAATTTTTAGACTTCTATTGCCTATCAGGAATGTTGTATTTCATTTAAAGTGACAGATTTTGTGCAAGACAAGATAAAACCATACCACATGTCAAAAGTTAATGGAACAGAAAATGATAGGGGAAAGGGAGATAAGATAATTGTGGTGGTGTTATTTTGAAATAGGAATTCAATTTATGCTTTATTGTCTCAAGAGGTAAGAACTAGGACCTCTGGTGGGACATCGTGGGTCTGTCATTAGTGCATTGGACTGGGGGGTTGAAAGCCTAGGTTTTAGACGTGGCTGCTTCTAAGAAACCTTGTGTTTTTAAGCAAATCACTTTACAGTGAGGGGATTGGATAAGATCATTGCTTCTCAAACTTTAGCCTGTATCAGAATTTCCTGGAGGGCTGTTAAAACTCCATTGCAGGACTCTATCACCAGAGTTTCTGATTTTCGAGAAGTTTTGGAGTGGGGTAAAGAATTGGCATGTCCAACACAGTTTCCTAGAGATGCTGGTGCTGTTGGTCTGGGATGTCATTTTGAGAACCACTGGATTCGATGATCTCTTTGGCCTCTTTGACTATAAGATTCTGAGGATATGAGGCTAGTGGGAAGTAGATTTTATTTTTTTAAATTTATTTAAAAATTTAAAAAAATTGTTTTTTAATTTCTGTTATAGTTAACATACAGTGTTATATTAGTTTTAGGTGTACGATATAGTGATTCAACAATTCTATACCCTACTCAATGTTCATCATGATAAGTGTACTCTTAATCCCCTTCACCTATTTCACCCATCCCCCCACCCACCTCCTCTCTGGCAACTATCTGTTCTTTATAGTTAATCTGTTTCTTGGTTTTTCTCTTCTCTTTTTCCTTTGCTCATTTGTTTTGTTTAACTTCCACATGAGTGAAGTCATATGGTACTTACCTTTTTCTCACTGATTTTGCTTAGCATTATACTCTCTAGCTCCATCCATGTTGTTGCAAATGGCAAGATTTCATTCTTTTTCATGGCTGAATAATACTCCGTGTGTGTGTGTGTGTGTGTGTGTGTATGGATGTATATATGGATATATATATGGGTATATATATGAATATATATATACTGCACCTTTTTAAGATTTTTTTATTTTTAAGTAATCTCTATACCCAATGTGGGCCTCAAACTTAAAACCCCAAGATCAGGAGTCACACGCTGTACTGACTGAGCCAGCCAGGCACTCCCCAGATCTTCTCTGTCCATTCATCTGTTGAGATTTTAGTTTGATCTAAGAAAATAGGGTCAGAAATTAGAACATTAAGAGTAAGTACTGAAGCTAATCAAGCAGAGTCAGACATGCCCAGCATATATTTAAGTAGGACAAACTGAAAGATCTAGCATCCTTTTTTTTTTTCTTTAAAGATTTTATTTATTCATTTGTCAGAGAGAGAGAGCAAAAGCAGGGGGAGCGGCAGACAGAGGGAGAAGCAGACTCCCTGCTTAGCAAGGAGTCAGTCAGATGCAGGACTTGATCCTAGGATCCCAGGAACATGGCCTGAGCCGAAGGCAGACGCTTAACCGACTGAGCCACCCAGCCGTCCCAAGATCTAACATCTTTATAGGACATTTCATTCTTTTCCTTTTCATTAATTATCTTTTTGGAGCAAAATGACTAAGACTTTATGGTACCATGCTTTAGAAACAATATTTTATTTATAAGCTTATTTCTTCCCCAAATGAGGGAAGGTTTTTGTCACATCACAGACAAGCGTCTTGACCTGTAAGTCAGGAATTTTATGGGCGCCTAGGTGGCTCAGGCGGTTAAAGCATCTGACTCTTGGTTTCGGCTCAGGTCATGATCTCATGGGTGGGGAGATTGAGCCCAGCAGTGGGGCTCTGTGATCAGTGGGGAGTCTGCTTGAGATTCTCTCCCTCTGACCCTCCCCCCACTTGCACTCTCTCTCTAAAATGAATAAGTAAATCTTAAAAAATTTATTCTATTTTCTGGGAAACTTGCTAAATTTTCTCTTTCAGCACTTTTATTAAATATTTTAACTTCACAGGGACGCCTGCGTGGCTCAGTTGGTTAAGCATCTGCCTTCAGCTCAGGTCATGATCCCAGGGTCCTGGGATGGAGTTCCCCCATCAGGCCTTGCTCAGCAGGGAGCCTGTTTCACCCTTTGCCTGATGCTCCCCGCTGCTTATGCTCTCTCTTGCTTTCTCTCTCTCTCTCTCTCTGACAAATAAATAAAAATCTTTAAATTAAAAAAAATATTTTAACTTCACAAAGCATTTCTTTCTCTCTTTCTTTCTTTCTTTCTTTTTAAAGATTTTATTTATTTATT